GGCTCACGGCACATGAATCAGCCGACGTACGGCAGGACCCGGTCACAAGACTGAGAGGAGCGGGGAGAAATCACCCATCAGCTGACAGCACCCAGAGGGACACAGCCCCGGCTCCCCGGGGGTGATGGCGGGGTTTTGGCACGTCCCACTCTCGGCATCGCACAGCCCCAAAAGGAGGAGCAGGAGCTGGGGGGCAGCGGGAGCTGGGGGCTCCTTGCTAAGGGGAAGCTGCCAGCACTTTCTTGGCGTGGGGATTGTGGGGATTGATCCCGGTTGGGACATTAAATAATGTCAGGGCTTGTCCCAACCTCTGCACGGGCAGGCAGGGAGAGCGGAGGCGCAGGGGGACGGCGATGGGTGCCAGGGGCAGAGGAGGATGGGCTCACCCGTGCTGCCCGGGCGTCACGGCATTATTCCTCCCGTTAGCGCTGGGGTTAACGAGGCAGCCGGTTCCGGGGCCAAACCGGAGGCTCGGCCAGCTCTGCCTTCCTCGCTTGATTAACACGACGAGCTTTTGAAATGCGGGGGCAACGGTGGCGTGGGACACTTGCATCGGCTCTGAGGAAGGGACCGCAGCGTTTCATGCACACAGACCCACGCTACGAAATCACTGATGCCCGCCATGATTATTCACATTACTGAGACGCCCTGCTCAGGATGGGGTTCGCTTGGCCTAAGACAGGCGTGTGGGATGCCCAAAATAAGTGAAAGCTCTCGGCTGCAGCCTCCATCCAGCCAGAACCGTAGTTTAAAATCATTCAGAGCATCCCAGGTGAGATTGTGTTGTTGTTGTTGCTCCCTTTGAGTAAACCGCTCTGCTCAGGATGCTCTGACCCATTAAGCTGAGCTGTAACTAAGCCAGTCCAACCCCCACGCAGCCGTTTTCATGCCAGTCTAAGGCTGCCTCGGTTTATTTTGGCTTAAGGCCGTTCCCCATCAATTGGCATCAAACCACTATGAGTAACTGAGCCGGTGTCCGTGCAGGATTAAGCCGTTCTCACAGGCTGGGTTTAGCGGTGCACCTCCCTCCTAGGCAGGCTCCTTGTGTAAACCAGGCCCTTATGGCTCAGGAGCTTTAAGCTAGGCTTAAACCCTGCTGCGAGGGGTTGGGGTGTTACTGCTGCACCTGCAGCCCCAGCTGGCCGGATTCGGCGGGGGACGGCTGCGTTCCCGGCGGGGAGCAGGTGCCACTCGGGGTGGGGGGGATACGGGCGCACGTTCACATGCCCGTGGCACCGTCACCCCTCCACCCACGGCAACAGGGGCCAGATACCCACCCGGGTCCGTACAAGCCGAACGCGTGGCTGGGCCACCTGGCACCCGCCGGGATGCTGGGCTGCTCCGTTGCGGGGCGAGGCGCCGGGTTAGTGCCCGCTTGCTCCGGCTCAGCAATTCCCAACGCGACCCTCGCCAATAAGGCCGAGCCCCCTCCACTACAAAGTCTGGAGGAACTGGAAAGGAGCGGTGGTGGTGTTGGCAGTCGAGGAGGGATGGCTGGATTTTTTTTTGGAGGGGGGGGGGGCTC